AATGAACAAACTCATATGCAACCTTTTCCACTGCAGATCCGGTCCTCTCTCGAAGGTCCAGCAGCAGCTCTTGTCCTCTGGGAATCCAGCAGGCAAAAGGGCATCTCTGCTGGTCTAAACCCCAGCTTATATCCATGTGGGAATGCTTGGCTCCCCCTCCCCATGTAGGAATGCTTAGCTCCTCTCCTCCCCTCCAGGGTGAGGCATCTCACAGTGGAACTGTGTAACTATGCATGGGTCCCAGACAGCCCACTGAACTGGGACAGCTGAGACAGCTCCCTGAGGGAGCCATCGGGGACAAAGAGATAAGGATCACTGCCCCCACCTGTTTCAACAGCTTGTGGGAGACATTGGAATACATACCACGCGTCACCCCCACGATGCAACCCAGGACAACACCTTAAACTACATCTTAAAACTCACACTCTGTTGGTTTTGTATTCCTAAAGCTTCTGTCCTGCTAGTATCTCCAGAGTACATTCAAACCTTCTCCCCAGTATGTTTTGACAAACTCCAGTGGCTACTAAGAATTGATATAAAAATTCTTAGTAGCCACTACTAAGAATTGATATAAAAAGGCCAGTGAAAGCACTTCCCTGCCCTTGCCTCAGGGCTCTGTGTTGACTCTGCATTCTTAATTTCTGCAAGGGAACACATTTATCCATTGGATTATGCTCGAAATTCTTTGCTTCATGTTGAGAAAGGAAGTGACATTGACAGCTGATCCCAGTGCAGGGACTGGCTGCTGTTGATCATTCATTTGCCTCTGATTTACAGAGACAATCTGAATCTCAAAATTAAATCTAAAGATGAAGCTAAATCTAATTTTACTTGACCTGAGCTAAATCTGAAAGCTGCAGTGAGATTCTCCAAGAGCTCTCTGGACAGTATGTGCCAAGGTCTTCAGGATCCTGCTGGTGATTTTGTGAGTGCTCCTGGTAGCCTGTGAGACTAATGGCTCCTTTATCTCTTCCAGACTGACGCGCGGTTCAGAGAGGAGCAGCTTGTTTCATTTGATAGGTAATAACTTCTTGTACACTTGAGGTTTTCACTGCATAAAATTAAAGTTATTATGGTAAGATGCATTGCTGTAACTGGGGTCAGGCTCTGCCAGCTGAATGAAAAGCAAAAAGAGCTGAAAAGGAATTCTTACACCACTGGTAATACACAGTGGAAAAAATTAACTGCATTATGACAGTACTTTATCCTCATTAAATGCAGATTGTCTGATTACTGCCCTGAGGAGAATAGTAGTGTCCCTAGGATGTGCCAGCTGGAGCTCCTGGTTTTCTGGCCAAGAGTACCAGGCAGGATTTCCCTCAGTGTGGCTCTTCCCACAGAGCTCCATGTTTATGTCATGGGTTTGGGTGTTCTCCAGCAGCCCAGTTGGAGCTATTGCAGAGGCTGCCCAACATTCAGAAGCCCTGGACATTATCTGCTGGTAAACTAAAGCTAGAACATGCACAACAAAACAATGTACTGTCACCTGTCAGACAGTTGCATTGCTCCTGCAGTACCTGTGTGCCTGCATGGCATAGAGCCATGTAAAATGTTACATCAAATCTATGATGTGGTAAAGAGAACCCAGGACTCTTCGGAAGTATCTGTGATAACTGTGTCACCTTCTGCTGTGCTTGAGAGAACTGGCTGAAATCTGTTGGCTCTGTCTGTATAAATCCTTTAACTTTCTGGATCAAGAGGCCTAGTTTCCATGGCTCAGCTATACATCCTCCCCCTGCCAACTGACTTTCATCTGCTCAGCTGCTTGGTGTGCATCCCTTCAGCAGCCCTGGGCACTCACACCAAGTCAGGGTGACCCTACATAGGTGCTGGGATGGGTTTGGAGGCCTTGCACACTAAAGCAAGGGGACCCAGACAGGTACCTGTTCATGCAGAGGCTCTTAGTTCAGTGAGAGATGGTGGCACAGCAGCTGTTCCACATTCAGAGCTGTTCTTGTTCATGCAGAGTTCAGTGAGAGATGGTGGCACAACAGCTGTTCCACATTCAGAGCTGTTCTTGTGGGCTGCATGTCAGAAACTTCTGCTATAAAGATCTGCAAACCCCACAGTCATCGTGGAGCTGAATTGCTGGAGTGCTCAGCTGTCTGATCTGCTCGTGCTGTTTATCTTCAGTTTTTTAGGCACTGTGAGACTTTAAAACTGACTGTTTAGTGTTGTATACCTGAAACTGGAATGCTACAGTGCTTCCTGGCACATTTCTCTGTTGACAAGATGGAGATGTTGCCCTTGAAGAACTTTCTAAGCTGAACATAGAGATGACCTTCTATTATAGGTGCTGAGTTCACTGTAACTGGTGTAACTTGGGCAGCAGTAATGAAGAACCAACTCCTCAGGAGAGAGGTAGACTGGGACGCAGAGTTACTTAGTGTTTAACATCTCTTTTGGTGTGTACTTTAATTTGAAATTTTTACTAGGCTAATGAATTCATATACTAACCCACTTTACTCTTATCTCCAAATGCCAGATAATAAGCTTTGAATCCAGGTGCTTGTCAGGTGTCCTTTTGTTCTGATAATGTTGTGCTTGCAGGCTGCTCTGCATCAAAACTTTCACCCTGATTTCTCCCTTCTGTGGGATGGTGAGAAGGAAGGTACAAGGATTTAAGAGAAAGCAGAACTGAAATAGGCAATTTTTTCCATAATGCTGTAGATAACTCTCACATCCTACAACAGTGTTCTGCACATGTAACTGCTTTCTAGTTTCTTCACTTTTCCTCCTCTGTCCCTTTTTTTAATAGTTCCACTTTGTAACTGTTGTCATGAACCAGTCCTGTCCCTGCACACAGTGGCACGGCCAAGAACCTGGAGATGTTCTATAGGAAACTCTTCAACTTGGACTCACTGGTGCTTTTTGCAGTGTGGAAGAACCTGTTCTCAGAGAAAGTCATATTTTTTCCCCCTCTCTTTCCAGTGGTGAAGATTGGAATCAAATGCAGTCTCAGGAAGAAGATGTGTCAATAACTGAACAGGACCTTGAACTCATTAAAGAAAGAGAAACAGCAATCAGGCAATTAGAGGTGACGAGTAGATGCCGCACAGTTAACAATATTGGGAGATAAACCAAAGGAGTCGTGTGGTGCTATCTAATGGGATGGGCTGAGGAGAGCTGAAGGTGGAGGAACACAGTTCCTTGTAGAGAGGATTGATGCCAAGATCAATCTCCCTGCTCCTGGTGAAGGAGGTATATGTTCCTTCAGTGTTGGCTGCTGCTCCTTCAGAGATGGCAGGAGCAGCTCTTGTTCAGTGTTCAGTTATCTGGGTATTAACTGTTATCTCAATTTCATACTGTGCTAATTGCTACTGTGATGAAACAAATA